AGAGAGAGAGAGAGAGAGAGAGAGAGAGAGAGAGAGAGCAGGCGAAGTGCGACGTGGAAATTGAATAGGTTACTAAATTGGAAATACTATTGTGGTTGTTGATATACCTCATCAGCAATACGCTTGCCATCGCCAGCAATGGCGGCAAGGGCACCAGCAGCAGCAGCAGCAACAACCGCAGCTGGCGTAGCGACAACCACGCCCAGCGACGAGAGCGTCGTCTGCGCCGTGGATGCGTTCGAGGAGCTGGCATTCGAGAGCAGCGAGCCGCGCGACGATAGATGCGCCGGCGGCGGGTAGCGCGGCGGCGCCTTGACCATCTCAATGAAACTGTCGGGCACGTCGACGGGCAGCTCGCGATGCTTGGTCTGCGGCAACAGCAACTGATTGCCGGCTGGCTCATAGCCAGGTGGCGCCATGCTCAGATCGTCCGGCATCGTTGAGCTGCTCGCTGTGGATGCTGCAGCGCTGTTGATGTTGCTGCTGTGGCTGTTGCTGTTGCTATTGCTGTGACTGTTGCTGCTGTGACTGTTGCTGCTGTTGTGCATGGAGCTGTTGCTGCTGCTTCGCGTGCTGTTCAAGGAGTTGCTGTTGCTATTGGGCGTCGCTGTTGCGCTGTTGTTGTTATTATTGGTGTTGCTGTTGCTTGTCGTCATTTGTTGCTGCTGCTGCAAGTGACGATAGGCAATTGTCTCAAACGTTTCGAGCGTATGTTTGCTCAGCATATCGTCGAAGCTGTTCGACGATGGCGAGCTGTCGCCCTTGCAGTAGATCTCATCCACCACGCACAGCAACTCAACGGCAACATTGTTGTTGCTGTTGCTGTTGCTGCTGTTGCTACTGTTGCTGTTGCTGTTGCTGTTGCTGCTGTCTAATGCGGCTGCCTTCTTGTAGCTGGGCATTTGCTGTTGCGCTGTTTGGGCGCCTGTTGCTGCTGTTGCTGTTGCTGCTGCCAGTTGCTGTTGTTGTTCCGTTTGCAGATCGTTTTCATAGTTTTCGATTTGTTCCAATTTCGTTTGTTGTTTTTGATTGTACAAATTTTGTGTGGCCACATCGAGTGCAATTGTTGTTGTTGTTGTTGTTGTTGTAGTTGTTTTTGATGAGTGGTGTTGTTGTTGTTGTTGTTGTTGATGATGATGATGATGATGTTGTTGTTGTAGTTGTAGTTGTTGTTCATGTTGATGTGAAGAATGATATGCAACAATTAACAATTTGTTAGCATGATCATTTTTAGTTTTAGTTGTGTTCTGGGTGGTGTTGTTGGTGGTATGGTTGGTGTTGGTGTTGGTGTTGGTGTTGGTGTTGATGGTGCTGGTGGTGGTGGCGATGATGCTGGTGATTGTTGTATGGTTGGTGTTGTGTTTCTGTGTGGTGGATAATGATGCGTGGTGCAGGTGGAACGTGTGAGCAATGCAATGTGAAATGAAATGAGAGGTTGTGTGATTGTGTGCTTCAGTGGTTGAGTAGTTCAGTGGTTGAGTGAGCTAAGCGCATGCATTTCAGGTGTGCTACGAGTTTATTGTGGTTGTTGTTAGTGTTTGTTAGCGACTGTTGCTTGTGCAGGGCAATGTCTATTGTTTTCTTCTTCTATTTTTAGTGGCTGTTAGATCGGGTGGGGCAATGGCTAGTGGGCGGTGGGCGGTGGGTGGTTCGATATGCTTACCTGTGGCGGACGGGGCGGCGGATACCTGGGTGGCGTCTTGTTGCGCGCTATAAACGTGTCGGGACAGTCGACGGCCATCTCGCGATGTGGACCTGCGGGGGGATAAATCAATTTATTATAATGTCGCATGTGGCATGTGGTAACTGAGATAACAGTTAGCAGCTATTAGCTGGCTTGGCTTACCGTTATCTTGATTGACCGACAACATGGTCAGCATTTCCTGATCAATCTCCCTAATATCACTTGAGTGCGAGCGGTAATGCTGCTGCTGGTGCTTCTGCTGCTGTTGCTGCTGCTGGTGGTGCAAATGGTGGTGCTGACCGCTAATGTAATCATCCGGCAGACATGGCTTCAGATCATCGCCATCAATGACCACAATGCTGGAGCCGGAACGTCGACGTGGCCTGCAATAACAGTCAAAGAGCCAGATTAGCAAAGCTTGCCTCAGGGAATGCCCACGATAAGCATATCTCAAATATCTATCTATTGTACATTCTCTAAACATTGTACAGTTCAAGCCACACCCTCTGGGCAAACAGATTTTGCATTTTTGTCCATATAAATATGAGTGTCTCCCACATGAGTCACCGAATTTCGCAGGTAAACGCCTGAAGACCTTCTGATTCACCTCGCCTTAACCAGAATAAATTGAAATCAGTTCAACAGTTCGAGTTCAATACGAACTCCGTGGAAGAGCAGAAAGCTCAAATTACTTAGTGAGAAGTGCAATGCTATTAAATATACATATATCTACTTGTAATGCAAGATATTATACACAAACTCTATTTAGTAGTATTATTATTATTATCGTTATAGGTTTTATGGATGGTTCAATGAAAACTCACTCAAGTCAGCTTGCTATAACATAATAAACTACCTACTATAAGATAGAGAAGGGAGTCATGATTAGGACGTGGAGATATGACAAGCACTAATAATGGTAGTGGGAGGGAGGTGCTTTAATGTGAAAGGCAAAAAGGTCTATAAGTAACCCGGCCAAAGGAGTAAATAATGCAAAATGGCCAAAAAAGTAAATAATACAAAATCACAAATATATATACAGTAAATTCTGATTATAACGACGCCGCTTATAGCGTGCAGTCGATGCGAAAAAGCCTACTGGAGATGAAGACGAGATCTGTGTTGCGATGTGACAGAAACGCACTCTGATCATAGTTACTCCGTACGATTGGGAAAACTGCTGAATCGAATTGGGAAAACTACTAGGGATAATTTTCTTACTTGCGAAAGGTGGTCACAAGATAGAACCCACCTGGCAGAAACTGCCGGAAAAGCTAAGGAAGAGTCTACAATAGAGCAAAGACGACTTCGACATATACAGTAGAAGGGTTCCATCTTGAAACTAGAGTCTCCACAAAAAAAAAAAAAAACAAAAATCAGTATCATTATTATCATCATCACCATTATCCTCATCATTGCTAATAATATTATTGTTCTTATTATTATTGCAGTCATCACTGATTTTGGCATATCATCCTCAACTGGACAGCTAAAATCGTATTAGTGTTACTCAATTGTGCTCTGAATTCAGTTGCTCTGCAACTGTCAATTATAAGCTAATGAATCTGATTGAAGCATGTCTGAGGCAACAACTAGGCGTGGATCAATATTTAATAAGGCCTGCGGCTGCCGTGCAGGCCCAAGAGGGATTTCATTTCAATTAGTGGGAAATCTTTAAGCGCCGAGCAGAGGCCAATTCCAGCTGCTAATGGGGGAAATTAAAGTGTGTGTCATACGTATGAGGCAGGCTGAATAATTAATGCAAATTAGCATAAAACTAAATCCTTCCAGATAGAGGCGTTTGACAGGTTGAAGCCATGCCAAAACTTTGCTCATTGCGGGAGACAAAGGTTTGCCTGCCCAGTTGATGGGGCTGGCGAATATATCTCCTTTGTATTTAGCGATGAATCTCGTCCATTAAATGAGGTAGGTAGCTTAGCAGCTCAGTCGATGGGGGATAATAGCCGAGGCGACGCATCGTAGGATACTTGTGAGCGTTAGGCAATGCGGGGCCAGGCCGAACGGGGAGAAATCAAAGTCAATTTTGATTTGGTCTGCTTGCCTCAATCTGAAAAACATTGTCAGCTGGTGAAGTGTCAATTTCCTGATTGTGGTTCGTCGTCCAGCTCGACTTCTATCTCACAAGCTGCATTCGCTGGAATCGACAGCATCCCCAATGGCAAATCAATCAGCCAAGCGTCTCCAGAGGCACGAATCACAAAACATGCAACACGTCGATGGCCGATGTTGTGGTCAGGTTTCGGTTTTGGTTTCGGTTTCGATTTGGGTTTGGGTCCGAGTTTGGGTTTCGGCTTATAGCTCGGCTTTTTCATGCGATGTGGCAGGTAGAGCCTGAGACTGAGACTGAGACTGAGCCTGAGGCTGAGACTGAAGCTGATGCACTGTGGCAACAACTGGAATGGATGGCAGTTATGTCACCTCGCCATGTCCTCCACTAGTCGGCCGAAGATTGGCTAAATATTTGAAGTGCAATTGTTGATGGCTGCACAAATTCCTTGCCCCATGCACAGTCAAATATGCATCAGCGGATCAATGTCAAGAATGTTTTTGTTTTTCTCACTTCGTGCTGCGTATTTCGTCTGGCTTATGTAATGCATGCTGACATTTGTATGGGCGAGCGCACTTCAGGCCACGAAATACACATACATATACATATGCACATGCATATACGTACATATATGTATGTATATCTTTATGTACGTAATGCCAGCGTGTTTTGCATACGAAATGCGAATGTCTATCTAACAGATATATGATATGCATAATATATAGACATGTGCACAACAATAGTCGCCGGCAGAAGATGTTTCGATTACACTGCCCGACACAATCAGGCGAGCAACAAGGGCCACCTCTGCTCAAGGCTGATTTGCATTTGAGATTGATATTTACCAAGAGTTTTTGCAGATGATTCAATTTTATCTGATCCCTAATCTCATCTATAATATAATTCAATGTAAAGCTATTTGGTTAAGGATATGATTTAATTGAGTCATCTACGCTAATTGGCGATATATAGAAAGAGGCGATAATTGATGAATATCGAACTAATTCTATATTTAATATATATATATAACTATCGACCTTCGACTAGTAGATGCCTGACTAACTATGTGTAAATAATACATATATTTCTATATACATATGTATATATTTATATACTGCATAGATAATTTAATTGAGCATTAAAAGTGCAATCGCATTCAATTGCTGTTGCACAGTGTAAAAAGAATGAGACGACTCAGTAAACACCTATGCATAGATTCGATTGGACATAGCGATACATATGCATGCACGTCGTAGATACAAATGTATCTTTTGCTTGAAATGCAGCAGTTAAATATTTAGATTCAAGCCGGAAATATTTGCTGGATTGAAAAAGTTCATGAAATCAAATCGAGTCGAGTCTCCTCAGTCTCCCACTTCACTTCCACTCACCATTGCTTCAGGATGCGCATTTTGTCGTTTGTTCTTTGTTTTGTTTATATCGTTGTTGTTGCTGTTGTTTGTGCGTTCGCTATGCTTGTCCTTCTCCTGGACCGTGGCACATTGCATTTATTTCAAGCGCTGTTTAAACAACAAGGCGCACACATAACAAAAAAAAAAAAAAATAGAAGTAAAATGAAAAAACGTTAAAAAAAAAAACAAAAAAAATGTTGCTGCGCATGCGCGCAATACGAATCGGGCAACAGGAAAAAAATCAACAGCAACAGAAAATATAATATATGTACATATACATATGTATATATCGCAGGCTAAAAGCAATTGCATTGCGATTGTTGCTGTTGTTGTTTTTGTTGTTTATTGACCAAGGTATAAATTACGACAGCAAAAAAAAAATGTAAAAAGTTGTTTGACCAATTTCTCAGCACTTTCGAAAGAAATTTTCGCTGTTGTCGTCGCTCGTTGCTTTTACGGCTGCTGCAGTAGCCATTGACGTTGCATGTTGACCACACACACAAATACACACACACACACGCGTGCACGCCACAGACAGACGCACACACTCACATACATATGGACACACACATTCCCTCACACACACGCATAGCGCATAGTTTTTGCCACCGTTTTTTTGTTTCACTTGTTCAAACATTTCAATTTTTTCAAACAACAGCAACAACAAAAGCTTGAAGGCATTCAGTGATCTGGCAACGCTGTTATGTGTAGCACTACAGTGCAACTAAAGCAATTGCAAGGTGCAGAAAAAAGAAGAGTAAGAAGAGGCAGAAGAGGTAGAAGAGGAACAAGGCAAGTTGAGCAAAGTAGACTAACAGATTTTTGTAGCAAACTTTGTTTGACTTGTTCTATTGAGATAATTTGTTGCTGTTGCTTGTTGTTAGTTGATTTTAATTACAATTTAATGAGCTCTAAGGAGTCCACGAACACACACACACACATGGCCAATACTTGTCAGTTAACGGTGAACCGCAAAAGAAAACAACGAATCATTGTTGTTCAAGATTTATCGTGATTGTTCAGGATGTTTTCGTTTTTGTTTTTTTTTTTTTTAATGGTTGCCGGCCTGCCAAGAGTTGGATTTGTTATAAATATTATTGTTGCTGTTGTTGTTGTTGTTCCTTGTTATTTTTATAGCGCGACGCGTCCACGTAACGTTTACCTCTCTCTGCGAACAAAGTCAGCCATAGACTGAAAAACTAAAACAGCGACTGCGACTGCGGCTGCGACTGCGAACTGAGCTGACTGAGCAACGAAACGCTGGCTCAAGCGCAAGCAGTCGAGAGAGCGAGCGACGCCAGAGAGCAGAGAGCAGAGAGCGAAGAGCGGCCAAGCATGGTGTACCTGTCGGTAGCGCAACGCAGCGCAGCGCAAGTGCAGCACACTCAAAACGGGAAAGTTTTTTATTTCCTTTTAGTTTTCTGTATTAAAGGATATGTGCGCACACACAGACGAAGAGGGAGAGAGAGAGAGAGGCATACACATACAATCGCTCACAAGGGGCGCACAAACAATAGCTTTAGCGAATTGCGCTAGCTTCAAGAGTGCACACAAACAGAAATAAAAGGAATAGGAATTTTGAGCAAAAGCAAAACAAGAAAATGAAGATGAGAAGAAGAAGCAGCAGGCAGCGACAGCCGCAGCCGCAGCAACAACAGAACGAGCAAGCGGAACGTTAAGTAAAGCAATCGAGCAATTGACGCCGACGCCGATGCCGACGCTGACGCTGACAGCAAAGGCAGGTACCATGCTCTTGTGTATACATATGTATACACACACGCACATGAGCACACATGATAGTGTTGTTTAGCCTGTTGTTAATGCCCTGCAGCATACAAAAGAACAAAAGGTGCGCATGAGAATGCGTGTGTGTGTGTGCCTGTGTCGTGACTCAACAGTCAGCTATGTATGTCTGTATGCTGCAACTGCGGCCGTTGCCCAAAGGAACTACAACAGCAGCAGCAACAACAACAAGTGGGGCTTATTGGCGCGCGCAGCTCTAAAGGCTGGGCCTCCCAGTGCAAAGCTGCGAGCAAGCAACAAGAGATGCCCAAAACTGATATACACACACGCACACAAATACAAGGGGAATACGTGCACACTGCCAATGCCTCTCTCAGAGAGAGGGAGAGTGAGATAGAGTGTGTGTCGAGCGGACGTCGTTACAGGTAAAAAAAAATAATTAACGCATTGATGGCTAGAGCATTTCTATGCCACTAAATCACTTACACTTACGCACACTAGCACATATGCCTGATGGCAATCATGCCCATATATTAGTACTTTATTCAGTGTTGCAGATCTGCGACAAGCTCAAAACGTAATTAACTGTCTATTCATGCAGGCGGTTAATCCCTCCACTTGACATGCTGCCGCGTTCTGCCGCCTTCTCTGCCGCCTTCTCTGCCGCGCTTGATCCTTGCCTGCGTTTTGGGCACTTAAGCTGGCTGCAGTTGAAGGTAATTATTTAGCGTCTACGCCAAAAGCGACTAAAAGTACAACAGGTAAAGAGGCAGGGCAACAACAGCAGCAAAGCTAAACAAAACAAAGCGCAACAGAACAAATAAAGCAAAACAAAAGACAAGCCTCTGTCGCTGTCGCTGCCGCTGTCATAGTCGCTGTCACCATCGCTTTTCCAGGTATCTTCCAAGCATCCTCTAAAGATACAATCAACAACGCACACTTAAGGTGTGTACGTGTGTGTGTGTGTGTGTGTGTGTGTGTGTGTGTGTGTGTGTGTGTGTGTGT